GAATAAAACATGATTATCCCAAAGACAAACACAACAATTCACCTGCAGTCAAGCCCAACCCACTCAACAGAGAATCTAGGTCGACGCTTGAGGGCATTCACTAATCCCAACGCTACAGACTCGACTTGAAAAAATGAACGTTCTTTGAGTCTCGTCGACTCTATACCTTCTGCGAACGATAATCCTAGGCCGACGACTAAATATAGCAAACGCAAAAAGACATGATACCTTTATCAAAAGTGCATTGGTGAGGAAATACATCAATGGATGTTATTTCCTTACTATTGGTTTGTTATGTGGCCGGTGCATTGTTGTTGTGCCAAACTCCATCATGTTGTCAAGAGTTAGAACAATTTTGCTGAAAATGAGATTCGTTACAGTTAAAACAAGAAACTCTAAAGTTTACTTGAGGTGTATTTCTTCTTGGAGCATAATTTCCATATTCCATAGAAACTTTTCCTACATTTTGATTACTTTTCTCCCACAACTGTACTACATTGATCTTGAGGTCAGCTAGAGTCTTTGTGATAGTTTAAACTCATGTTGCAAATCTACGTTGGAAGTAATCATTGTGGAGTAACTAGCAAGATTTGGAATAGTGGGTCTTACTACAACATAGGAAGCTACTTCTCTAGCCACTAAGCTAGACTCAATATCTTCTAAGTTTTCTTTCATTCTAAGAGCAATTCAAATGGCTTGAGTCTTAGAAGAGGGCTTCTCATATCTAAGCTTACTTTGAATCTCTGGCTTCAAACCTCCAGCAAAATTCTTCGTGAGCATTGCTCTTATCTCCATTATTGTGAAATCCGCTTCGTTATTACTTTTTCTCAACACCACATGAAATCTTGACTCCAAATTCTCGGTACTCTCAACATAAGACCTTGTCTTCTCGTTGTCTCTTGTTTCAAGAAGGTGACATCACTTATCAACTTTTTGTAAATCAGGTACTCGATCAACGTTTTCCAGGTTTACTCCTCCAAGTGCTCTCTCTTGTACTCTTTATACCACTTGAGAACTAAATACTCCCAAAAAAATTGGCAAAAACATAGCCCACTCATACTTCTTACTCTCATTATTTCCTATGCAAGCCCTCTTACAGTTTCTAATAAACAAAAGTTTCAAAAGTTTCTACATCCTCATTCTTCTTCCCATAAAACACCAAAAGTTTTTCCATTTTCAACTAGTTTTTATTTCCATTGGAAATTTATTTGAAACTTCATAATACAACACAAATAACATTTAACTCTATCCTTCTGTAATTCATCAAAACAAACACAAAAGGATTTGGCTTGTTTCGTATAGCCATAGCTCTCTCCTCCCCCAAACACACAATGAGTCTTACCCTCATCATCATCTTTTTCATCATCCGAATGATGATCTCCATCTTTAGTTGGAGCTTGATCCAATAGAGATCAACTTCTCCGCCTTCGCACTATATTTGCCATCAAGACCTTTCGCAAGTGATTCGAGGAGTGTCTTCACTCCGCTTCATTCGTGTTATGCCGGTAGTTCAATCACTTCACATTTTTCACATAAGGTTGTGCTTTGAGATTCATGTGACGATGATGGTCCTAAATGAAATTTCAAATATCCCAAGTTTTTCCGACTCCTCAATCTCATATCCTTGTTCCGTAAGGAGCAACTTCTCACTTTATGTCCCTATTCTTCACAATAAAGCAAGTTTTGTGTTTCACTTTTGAATATTGATTTACTACTCTCTCTTCAAATTTCACTTTGAATTTTCTTGCGTTTGAGTTAGGAGACTATAATATCCAACCTTTGAGGTATTTTGGATTAGCTAACATTCTAACTCCCTTGTTCACTCATTTTTTAAGAGGTGTAAACACTCAAAAGGTATCTCCCAAAAAAACGCTCTCTACATGATGAAAATCATAATTAAGGTATTTTGGATTAGCTAACATTCTAACTCCCTTGTTCACTCATTTTTTAAGAGGTGTAAACACTCAAAAGGTATCTCCCAAAAAAACGCTCTCTACATGATGAAAATCATAATTAAGTAAATTCAAAACTTTTGCAGCGTTCAGAACTCAACATTCAAAAATGATGAAGTTCATGCGGGCGCGTAAGTGACTGCATGAGGTCGCATGAAAGCATGCGGATGGAAAGACGGTGGTGCGTGTACACTTGCCGATGGCCTAGTGCAAACACATAGACGCGCATTGGCAAAGATTTACCAAGCAATGACACGTGTAGATTCTCGCTGGCGGCACGTAACCATCACGAGTGCTGCCACATCATTTTCATTTGGACATACTTCTTCACCGACGCTTTATTACTCCTATCACATCACGTCAATGCTCTAAGCATCAAGTCAACCTCGAAACGCGCAAAGTGCTAACATGTGACAACATAACATCTACGCAGACATGCCACGTAGACAGCATAAGACAAGAAGCGTGGCGGGCACAAGACGAGCAATGCGGGCGGTCAAATTCCAAAATGACATGTGTGTGACATCACGTAGGTGCAGACGACACGCGTGGCATGCCGCAAAGGCACATGCAGATATGAGGCGCGGCAAACTGTCACGTGGCAATATACATGGCTTGGGCAAGTCGCATGTGTGGACACGTAGGTCAACACGCGGCGGGCAACAAGACTATGACAAGTGGTGGGTATGTGAGGCACGTTTGGACAAATCGGACAGCTTGTAGAAAAATTTTGTGCAAGTTTTGGGAATTTTTGTCCAAATACTTTGTCCATTAGGAATATTTTGTCTATCACAAAGACTTTGTTTGGAAAAATATTTCATACATATAATATTTTGTGCGACAAAATATTTGTCAAAATATGTACAAATTGAAATAACGTTAAAGAACTCTTGAGGAAACTAATGCATCTGGATACTTTTGAAAAACGCACATATGACAAGAAAAAAAATTGCTGCAAAAACTACCATGATCTCTAGTTTTTGTCAGACAAAGATGACGCGCTAGACAGTGACCGCGATTTTCAATCTTGTTATGAACTAGATTGATGTGATTACAACTTTTCTTTATTAATTTATAGAGAAGGAGATCAATATAAGAGTTTGGTTTATAGATTCTGAAATCATTGTATGAAATGAAGCAAGTACCTAAGTAGTGAAACACGCAATTTGATGAGTTCATGAAGACACAAGAATTTTTAATGAATGTGTATGATCTGTGTGTCTATATGAAGAAGTTGAATGATGAGACTAAGTATGTTGCGATAGTACAATCGACAAAAAAAACTATTTGGTCGGATAGGTTTATCATGGAGATGAGATTAACACATGGCGTGGTCAATCTTCATTGTGATAACTAGAGTGCCGTAAATTTGGCTATAAATTAGTTTATGAATAGAAAAGTGAAGCACATTGACATCAAGTATCATTTTATCAAACAATCAATGTATAATAAACGATTGAGCTAGTCAAGATAAACGATAAATTCAATACTGTTTATGTGTTGATCAAATTTAGTATTTTAGAGATTTCAAGCAATATTGTGCTACTGCATATGTGGAAGATATTATGCTATTGTTAGCCTAGTATCTACATTTTTCTCCTTATATAATTATTCTATCATGTGATGGCAACCTTCTACTTCTAGTTAGCTCTTTGTATAAAGAGCTATCTTGTGTTAGAATTTCTTACGAAGCTATTATATAGATTAAAAAGTATACTGTTCCCTCTATAATAGCAATTTTATTAGTTAACTCTTTATATTATTACTCTATCATGTTATGGCTACAGATTATATCTAGTTCAGTATGGTTGACAAGAATGAACTTGTGTTAGGTATCTATTTAGAACTTCCCGCGGAGTAAAAACATAGATTAAGGAGTTTACTCTTCCCTTAACATGAGTTAAGAGTAGATTCTTGAGGTTAACTCCAGTTAAGAAGCAACCTCAATTCTAGCTATGTTTAGCTAAAAAGTATTGTCAAGAGTGGGAATACTTAACCCTAGTGACTTCAAAATGTATCTTGATCTTTTTTCAATGATCAATATACTCTCTCCCATGTTTCAATTGTGGACGTAGTCCTACATCTAGATGAATCACGTTATATTGTGACTTCTTGTGTTTGACATTTAGGCTTTACTATTTGGCTGACTGTAAACTGGATGTGGTTATTTTGCGTGTTTTGAACTAACAAATATACTCAACTTTGAAAAACTTTTCATGGCATGAAAGACTTCAAACCTAGTTTATATGTTGCATTACAAGACTAATGTATTTTTTTATCAAATGTGATCAAATAATTTTTACCAATATTGTGATATGAATCATAAAAATTTGATAATCATTTATCTAGTCAAAGTGGATTGAACTACATGACATTTTAAGTATTGCAAAGTTTGCATATTTGTGATTATTGCATCAATCATGCCTAAGGACCTTTGAAAACTATTGTTTTTTCTTGTTTCATCTTGACTTGGTGCACGGTTTACAAGTTCATATTTCTATCATTCAATTTGCAACAAATGTTGATAGAACTTGTTATGCATTTGTGATATCATATTTAGTAGTTAGTTAGAGATAATTGAGCAATATGTGTCTTCAATGTTAAGCCTACAACAATATCAGAATATATATATAGGGGCTCCAAGAATAGATTTCTAATTAGGCTCCTAAATGTTGAAATAGAGAAGTATTTAGGTTTGGCAAATTACTGAAGATTTTGAAGCACTTGGTTAATTTGGTTGGACATAAATTTACTATAAAAAAAGTATGTATTAATTATTATTTAAAAAAAGTATGTTGCGTTACATGAGTACAATACATACAAAATTATAAATACAATAACCAATTATGTGAATCAGTATATGATGTTCGCCTTTGAAACAAACATGTTGAAAACTCAAATGGAAAAACCACTAGGACCAACTTAAATCATACTCGTAAATACAATGGAAAGAATAATGTCAAAACCACATGAGGATAATATCAAATCACACATTATCAATGAGGATGTGGACATTCAACCACCGATACACATAAATTAAAGGTTTTCGTTATTTCTTTCCTCTTTGGAATTATACCCTGCTAATTACACCAACTTGTACATGTCCGTCATATCGTACTAAAAAGTAAGGATGCTACGCAAAATATTTTCACTACTGCACTTAAACACTGGCGAGGTGTATAGACAAGAGAGCAATTAGTTTAGTTAATGTGTTAGGGGATTCCCGCGTTGCATGTAATTAATCATTCGGACAACCTTTGCCTCGTCCAGGTTACCGATTTGGCTTCATCCGAGGCTCCACCGCATGTTCCTTCCTTGTGGTTACTTCGCTTTGTACGCCTGATCGGATTCGACGCGTGGCGCATGGGCTCGATATCAGGGCCCATATGAAGCAGACGGCAGCCCGAGCCCCCCAAGCGTAAAGAGGTGCTGGGTCGAATAAAAACGCGGTGAGAGTGAGAGTGAGAAGCCCTCTCACCAAACTTTGATTCGACTCAGCACCGGAGCTGGAATTATCGAAAGAATACGCAGGCCCAAAGCGACAATCTGTAATCGATGACGATACATTTTTGGATCGACGGACTTGGCCGGGGGCGGTACATTCGCCTCCGCAGTGATGACATCCATGACGACGAGTGACTTGTTCTCTATGGCTTGGCCCAGATGCACTTCCCTCACCTAACGAGCAGCTGATTTGGAGTCGGCTAGCGATCTCTTTCCCGAAGCTTTTATATTGGTGGTTGGCTGGAGACAAATTCGCCCAGTACACAGTAACGTGGTATTCTACTCTACCTCGCGAAAGCAAGCAAGTCTCGGACTGGTCTATCGAGCAGTCATGAAAGGCGATCTGGGTCTACAACTAATCACGAGCTACGAGAAGCAAATAGAGGATCTGATCACACTTCAATTTGTGTCGAGAACTTTTTGTCGTTTCACAGACCTCTGAGTTCAGGGAGCTGGCAAACCGTGCTCGGTAACAAAATTGGGATTTAAATGTACAGGGAGATGGTGTGTCTGATCCGAAGGAAGACCTGAGTAATGGGCGAGTCGTCTGTTTAGGGAGCACGTGGCGCCGAAATTCATGAATGCTGCGAGTCTGAACGAGGAAAAAATTCTCACGAGTCGTCGAAGAGGCGATCCGTCAGTGCTAGCAAAGCGCCCAAAGCGGCAGGGCGAAACTTGCGGGCGAAAAGAAACCGTCTCTTCTGCTGCGCCTGCACGGCTTCGATCAGATGCGCCGTGCTCTCGTCGGGGTCGAAGCTTTGTGGGTGTCCTCCTCTGGACCCGTTCCAGCTGACGAACGTCGCGGTCCCCAAGCAGGCCGTCGCGTCGAGGTTGCCGACTACCGTCTGAACGTAATGCTCGTCCGGCGCACAAGCTCCATGCCGGAGGCAGGGCAGCCGGAATTTCGGCCAGTACTTGGTGTCGCGAATCACCATCACGGCGTGCCGCCGGCGGATGCTGAACCACTGCGACCCGAGTCGGAAGTCCTCGAACGGGACCTCGGGCAGCATCGCGTACTCCCCTCGCGCCGTGTACCTGCTCCGCATCATCGTTCCCGGCGCGCCGTAGCCGCAGTCGATTCGGCTGCCGGCGGTGGAATTCAGCGCCCGGTAAATGTGACGGAAACTGCGAACGGGAATGCAGGACTCGGAGACGAGGGCGAACCATTCGTTCATGGGGTCGTCGTAGAGCGCGTTGGCCAGAAGCCGGCGCTCCGCTTGCACGATGTCGGGCTCGGCTCGGTGCGTCGTTCCGCTCGGCACGACGCGACCCCAAAATACCCCCGCGCTGTTACCCTCGCCCAGCCCCCTGTCCCGGAGCCAGTCCGGGTTGCCGTGCACGTACACGTTGTAAAGCTCGCGGTTCCCGTCGAAGAATTTCTCCCACACCGGCGCAAGCGGTAACCCGGCGGCCGTAAGGAAGAGGAAGGCGATCTTGCGCTCCTCGACGACCGCCGGCCGGCAGCGCAAGCTGGCCTCCTCCTCCTCCGTCGCGTTGCGCGACGCGTTGGCGTCCTCGGCTCGGAGGGCGCGAACGATGAGCTCGTCGTCGGACCAGCCGTGGAGCGTAAGCGCGCCTCGCTGCTGGAACGTTCGCTGCGCCGCCAAGTGGCACTGCCACGGCGTCGCGCGCTCCTGCCCTTGCCCGCGCAGTGCGCGCGTCGACGCGCTGAGCCAGGCCTGGACTTGGAACGTCGGCCCTCTCCAGTCCACCAGCAGCCAGCAGGCGAACAAGGCCACCGTCGTCACGGCCAGCACCACGCGCCACCCCGAGACGGTCCACCCGGCGCTCATTGTCCCTCCGTTCGGGCGAGTGCGCGTCTCTGCGTCGGTCAGTCCTGGCTCCAGTCTAGGCGCGTGTCGACTCCATCGGCCCCCGCGACGATCGTCGGTTCCGAACCGGATCTGACAGTCCGCTGCGCTCTTCCGCGATTCGAATTCGAATTCGAATTGCGCTCCCCGAGTTCCAAACCGACGCTCGTCCGGATCCTATCGAACTTCCTCTCGAGCCCCTACGTGGTCGCCGCGTGCTCCTCACTCTGTCCGGATCCGTAGCGACTTGGCGCCTGGAACCGTCGAAACGCAGTCGGAGGCGGAAACGCGGTTGCAGGAAAGGATCGAAGCACAGGGCCTGAAGATATGCGTCAAAGTCTCGAGGGTTTGTGGGGGGACCTACTGCTGTCAGCGAGCCAAGTGCAGTCGTACTCTCGAGCTCTTCAGTGTGGCAGCAGCTCTTGTGACATCCTCGATCAGAGCTGCAGCAGGCATGGTCTGCTACACGGAGCTCGCGCCTGCGTTATCAAATGTGTTCGAGAATTGGACCTTCGGCGGACGAGTGCGATACCGAGGAGTGATTCTTCGTTTCTTCGTCCCGCCGGTGAAGTGAAGTCATCCTTGAGATTCTAATACTACAGCTTCGTGCAGCGTCACCCGTGGGCTGAAAGTGGGATTCTTGACGTGCGCAGCAGGAGGGGTCAGCGTGAGAACCGATCCCGGAATCAGTTCCAGTGTCAGCAGGTGGCAAGCTGGAATAGTGCCTGTCCATATACTCCGTGTGCCGTGGTCAGCCGAGAAAGAATTCCAGGGTCCTTGCAGCGTCGTCGGAGGAGCAATGGAACTTCTTCCTAAAACAGACATCCGGTCCCGATGGGATCTCTGTGAGCTGTACAGATGCCTGTCGTTCCTCGCACGTGGCCTTGTGAGAATGATTCGATCGAGAGCTTGAACCTTCGTCGTCCAGACAGAGAATCAATCTCTAATCGGAGGAATCAGTTTTCATAGCCCGAAAAGACCTGCAGCCGGAGGTTTGCAGATTCACACCTTTCCTTTGACTTCACAGCAAGAGAAGAACCCCAAGTACGAAAGAAGGTGCACATGTTCCGGTGTTACCTTCATTGAAGTAATTAATCCGCCCTTCTATGCAACAATTATGCACAGAGCGATCGAACTGTTCCCAAAAGGCCACTCCATTGTGACTTCGGCAAGCCATGGGAAGCAGGCTGATTCGGACGAACTGGTTCAGACTCTTGAAGCTGTGCTTCTGGGTACTTACTATCTCCATTGATTCCCGCCTTGCAACCCAATTAAGAAAAAGCCTCCACTCCCCGGATCTCGGGTGCTCACACGTCAGTCAGGTGAACCCGGCACACCAACACCGAACTTTCATCTCTTTGCCATCTGAGCACGCTTCAAAGAGAAATCCTTCCGACACGGAGCTGCGTGGAATATTCTCCGGAGTCCCAGGTCCGACCTCGAGGCCGTCCGATGTTCGTGCCACTGAGCAGACAGCTCTCGGCTACGTGTTCTCATGGTTGGGATCTTTTGAGAGTCAGATCTGAGGGTACTGCCTGCGGCTAAGACCCACCGGGTTGTCTCAGCTCATCTGGACTGGAACCTAGCTCAATACCTGTCTCGTCGGCGATATACGAAGATTCCTGTGTGAGACTGTGTTCAATTATTGGCTGAGAACGCTGTAGCTCACGTCCACATTCATCGGCACGGGCAGCAGCCTTAAAATGCTGCAACTTTCCCCTTCCGAGTCCAACTTCCAGATCGACATCCTCGGACCTGAAGCTAGAGAGAAGAGAGCTGGGAAGCTCTGCTCAGTCAGACGAGATGTAGAACATGCAAATCTATGGACGAACTGAAATTCTCAGATAATTCCTCGGAGATTTCTCCAGGCATGTTTCACTCTTCAGCGCGCCCGTCATTGTATTGGGGAACTGCGTACCTTTACACTGTGCTCCAATTTTTTGCGCCAGCTTAAACTGGAGTGAAACGTGGAGGGCAGTGTGCATATGCCAAAAGGTAGATTTCATTTCATGATTGCCAGCAACATGAAGTCAGGCATCAACAGTCCCGATGGGACTGTCTGGTTTGGACTTCAGTCGCCTCTGGATCTTCCATCGGATGGCTCTCGCCCGTCCGTCTACGTCAACAATTCAGAAACGTGCTCAGTATGGTCGCGCACAAGTCTTAAGAGAATCATTTCATTTCGCTTGACATTCTTCCAAGCTCCAGTCAAAAGCGTTCTTGTCGGCATTTGCATGTCGACAACATGCAACTACGCTGCGCCCTACATGCGAGGTAGTCGGTCTTGCACATCTTGATAAAGTATGCTATGGAGACTTATGAGTATGCGGCTGATGACTGCCAATCTCTCTACAAAAATACTGGAGCTCCGACGTCGTGTTGCAGTTTTATAGATTTTCCACTTTCTGAAACGCTCAACTAAATATTCGTATCAAGGATATTCATAATGATATAAACTCGATAAGTCCATGGACTCCGATTGCTTGCAAAATTCCCAGAGAATTTATAGCAGGACAGGGTTGAAAACATAGTGTTACGACTTCAGGTTCCATCGCAGGCACCTGCCATGGTTACTAGTTATATATAATACTGACTAAAATAGGGGAATTACATTTGGAGGGACTATTACAACAAGTGTCAGAAATAGCTTACCAGCTAGTACACCATGGTACCTCATTGCAAAAGTCCAGTTCGGGAATATTTCCAAAAGGTATGCTACGTTGGTAAGATATAATCAAGGTTCCATTAGTGTCAAAGGATCACCAAAGCCTTCTTCTCACACTACGAGCTCGGACCTGAACTATTTGGATCACTGTTTGAATGCTTCATGCAATTCCAGGCCCAGACAGGCTTGCCAAGCAGCTATGGAATCCTGCTGAAGGTGAAGCAGTAAAGCTGAAGGTTGAAATAGCGGCCAAAATCCTCATGACATTTCATCTCGAGTTTGTATGCTTACTAGTGTTACAAGTCATTTTTGGAACTGAAACTGACAATTGCGATATGACAATTGTTGACATTTTTCACATTTGTTATGGCAGCTCGAAAAGTCATGAGTGGCTTTCTCCGGAATCCGAGCCGGTATTTGCGACTGACACACGCAACGCTGGTCACAGTATCAGAGAATGAGAAACAGCTCTCTCCTGTTCGAAACTGCAACCCGAAGTGGCCCAGTCCAGTTTAAGATGCCAGCATATATGCCCTTCTTATAGACCGAGATGCTGCAGTTAGACTCGCTGTCTAGTCGGTGGAGCTTGGGTCAAATGAAACTTTCAATGCCATCAGGTACATACGGCCTTAAGTATCTTACCAGCAGTGCTCACGGTGATGACTGCTTGAGCACCAATCGCTGAAGTCCAGCCAGACGCACCAGTAAGTACCCTGCCTATTGTATTTACAGGTCTACTGGGATCTGCAGCCTGCAAAGTCGATGGAAGGTTTGGATCCGTGAGGTTTATCTGGACGGCGTGTGCTGCAAAGATGCGTGCTAATCATTCTCTTCCATCATGCACGGACCCTGGAATTCCATTCCGATGACACATGCTCGAGAGAATCATTGTAACATCTGTGCGACGTGTGGCCTCGGAAGACAAGCTCCCGCTTTTCTGATCATCGAGGCTGAAATCGTGCATCCTGCCACTCTCAAGGGCGATGCGATGCCTGTAAATGTGATGGCTCCAAGAGAGTCCCGGGCGTTCGAGCCGCCATAAGAGACGCTTGGGGACAATTGGCTTGCACTGCTGCCTCAGTGATTGACTGCAGACAGTAACCTCTAGATCTAGAATTTCGAACTCAGACTCATCTTTTCATTTTGTTCTCAGCTAGGTTGGTGGTCTTCACCAAAATTATGGCCGAATTCTGCCCCAAACGAGATTCGTAACAGCAGGATCAGATACGGGCTATGAAAGTGTACATCCTTTGCGGCGAGAAACAAAGAGCAGCCAGAAGTACGGAGATGTCCATTTTGACTTTAGGATGATATGAACTAAATCGAGTTTTTCTTCACAAGTTCTGCTTCTGAGCGGTATGATAGATTCTGCTGCGGGATCCTTATCAGCACGGGCAAGGACATCATCACATCCGCTCCAGTATAATTTTGTAACTAGCATAATTTACTTTTATGCTATAGAACCTTACGAGCGAAATTCTTGGCTGACACATGCCATACCAATGAGAATTTAAAACTTCAGATTCGAGCTCCAGCGCGTTGGAGTCATACTTTACTGAAAAGATTCAGGTGTCTTTACAGGTATGGCAGTATCTATGTATTCTGCGTAAAGGAAGGAACTGCAGGGGGGAGCAATTTGGGGTGCTTTGCTAGTTGTAAATGAACTTGAACAAAGACTTCTAGTTTGCATCCTGGTCAGCTGTCCTCGGATCAGTTGCCATCAATATTCTTCAGCGTTCCCGAATGACCTCACCTCAAGGTCAGTTCGAAACAATGTTTTCTTATTACCATGAAGGCAGGAGAAGCTCCATTGAAGAAGGGTCCAGTGGATGCAGAGAATGCTCCAGGTGCATTGCAATGTCATCGCCTCAGTGTATTGAGCCCAAACTTCTTTTATGGCACAGAATAAGGGTCTGTACATACAAAGGGACTCCTTTCATGGATCCGGGGAAGACAAATGCTGCAATCTAAGTTGAACTGCAGGACCAAAATTTCAATAGACCAAAATCTAGAGGCGGGTCGGATGAATTGGTTGTTCCAAACTTGGGTTTATTAATTGACACTTACATGAACATGACTTTATAGACTACTAACACCAATGACGGCCCAGAGGTTCTGCGATGCACTGAAGTTCGAAAGTCGTGGGGAGCTCAATGGATTTATCACTCCCCACTTACTATACAACAAATATGACCCTGTGGTCTTCGCACTACAGTACATGGCGAATATGAGCATTAATGTCAAGAATGCGCCTATCACTCCACACTACCTCATTGCGATCAGACTCTTGCTCGCGATGAGTAGCGAAGTCCAATATCGGCCGACGCAGTAAACAGGGCAAAATATTTGGAAGCTTGATCTCTGGTATATCAGAGCGAGGTTTCGATCCTCGGACCTGTGGGTTATGGGCCCACCACGCTTCCGCTGCGCCACTCTGATTGATGCCCACCACCCCGCAGATTAGATATAAGTATATTCTAAGAGACTCCTATTCTCGATTTATGTGTGTTTAATCCAGCCATGAGCTAGATTCCCCATGATTAATTAGGCATATTGTCCTCCTCATCATCGTCAGCGACAGCTGAAATTGGGACATACCTCAAAGGCGAGACTCCACGATTGCATATGCACCCAGATGTCCGGATTTGGTATCACAATACATTTCACTCCTCCGATAGAATCGATCCATGTCGATGTCGATGGTGCCCATCATTGACATGAGTAACGCAGTCCCATGAAGTAATTCCACCTTCCGAATGTACTGTGTTCAGGTCAGTCCCTTCTTCGTAACCTTCAACTTTGAAATGATTTGTATCAAATTCTACGTTTACATCGTTGAACAGCGTGGAATGTAAAAGTAACCAAACATCTCGTTCATCTGTTTACGATCAAACAAATCTACCTCAAATATCCATTGAAGGAAAATATAGGAAGAAATATGGGATTCTCTGTATCCATCATGGCCTCTCACCAACTTCCGAATCTGACAGTCCCGAGTCCAGAGCAAGTGTATTTTTTGAGTCGACTTTTGACAAACGACCACGTCTGTCATGATCAGTATTTTCTTCACCCACCAATGATTGTAGTTTAATAGCCAAAAAATTCCCTCTTTCCTTGTACACCTTCTGAAAATACTGAGTTTCTTATCTGGAGCTCACAGAGTCATTGTCGTGTATCGCCTTGATTTGGTTAAGATGAGAACAGAAATCTCTCGATTGTCAGGGTGAGGATTGGCACACTGACGATGGATCTGAAACTTATGAACACCACTTTCGGGTTCTTCGTCGTAATACTCTTGGTTGCCTTTGCTCTAGACAAAAGGTCTTATGTAAAAGCTTATGCTGATGAATCGCCTGGTGTCTCAGTACTTGAAAAGGAGACAAGATCAACAAACAGGGGCTTGTTTGATCAGCAAACTTTAAGTATATCGCTCGACAGAAGAATGCCCACGAGAGAAGTTCATTGCTGTACGTTCCAGACTGATCGACGGCAACGAGTTGAAGACATGCATATTTTATTCTGTAAGGAAATCGGTCAAATTTCATTTCAGCTGCTGAGGACAGTTACTCAGTCACTAGACAATGAACATGCGATATGAAGGTTCTCGTGACGTGACTTTTCTGTTAAAACATACTGACACCTGCATGAGGACTTTGGCCTTTAAGGTTCCGTCTGCTTGTGGTCGAAGGGGAAAACGACAACGCTGACCTTTGCAGCCTTGTTTCATTGCTTGGGCTGACTTCGTCTTATGAGAACCATTGAGGTGAATCGATCTACTCTCAAGGCATCCTTCCCGTCTTAAATAGCAATCAGAGTTGTTTCATGAGTCTATTTAACATGCGCGTGAAGAGTGATATTTCTTGATTTCATAGACCGGAGAACAACTTGTTGGAGCCCTGAATTCTGATCTCTGCAATATACAGAAACAGTCATCGTGCAAAAGCAAAACCGAAAGCTTGCAGGTACAGAATAGCTCGGGCCCACTCGCCAGCTTCGGCTTAACATGGTGGAGTGGAATGGAATCCATTAATCAAAACAGAAGTAGCTAGGTGCTGCTTTCTCCCATGAGCCTTATAATTCTGGATGACGGAGTTGGAATTGATGATCGAAGAGGTTTTCTTTCACGGTCTCCAAGCTTGAAAAGTAGACAGTGTCATTTCAATACATGTACTATCGATTAGAATATTATGATTATTTTTAATCGAAATCATATCTCAATCATAGGTCTGTAAAATAATCTACCTACTTGTAAAAGTGACACCTGATTTTGACCATTGTGGTATGATAAAGTGCACTTTATAACCAACGTGTCGAGTTTCCACACTTCGGCTTGTTCCTCTCGGCTCGCTGTCCATCAAGGAGTATGGTCTATACTCCTTGATGGACAATTATAATCTGTACTGTATAGATGATAACCCCAAACTGCACCATGGTAAATGGTACTATTGAAACAAGTATAGGAATGCCATGCCCCAAACAAACCAATGTTCCCAGTATGATTTATCTATCTTATTTCAGTGGAACAACAAACACAATACCTATAATTTCACCATGTTAAGTTATTCTTTACCATGAATAAGTAGACACTTATATATAATTGGTGTAATCAATTTGATTTTAATTTTATATATGAATAATCAAGATGCACATGGGTATAGAGAGTGAAAGTATGTTTCTACTAAACACTTGATGGAGCAAACATCCATGAACATGCACTAAGGGAAGAATAGGTAATATCATAACATTGATAAAATTTTATTAAGATTCGAGAAGTTTCCAACTGGGTTCAATAAAACCAATGCATGAAAATGAAGAGACTGCAAATAGAAGATATTGAACATTCTACCTTGATAAAGAAAAATCTCTTTAGAATACCAGTGAATGGAGAAGTTGAGATACCAACATGAAAGCCTTCCTTGAGGTTCTAGCGGTGCAAGAACTCTCTCTGATATTTCAGAGAAGTACATCCATCATTTTTGGTCGCCAGAAGTCTGCTCCATTCCTGTGACCAGGCAGCTTGGTTTCATCACCTTGTAATCATAAGGTACGAATGTGCGAAATACGCACAACCTGAAGAATCGCAACAACTGTTGACTGAATAACTTTCGAGAGGCTTGTAGAATGAAGACTTGGCACCCGCTCCTTAAGAAATATATCTAGTCTTGAGTCCCAGAGATTTTTCCAAAATGACCAAACGGTAACCCAAAAGGTCTGCGGGAGCGCCATCTCTGGATTATCAGAGCGAGGTTTCGATCCTCGGACCTGTGGGTTATGGGCCCACCACGCTTCCGCTGCGCCACTCTGATTGATGTCTACGAAGGGCAACAGACCTTATAAGTATTGTTAAGATCTTGGTTTGAATGATTTTTTGGGCATTTCGTCGCCGAGGACGTTGAAAGCAGGGCCCATGCACCACTCTGAGTTTCCTGTCTGCCATCGGAGCTTTGTCTGGGACGACAAGCCCACAATCGATCGATGGTCGAATAGATCGCACGAATCTCACCAAGCCTCTTAGAAGACTCTTAGAAGGAACGTTCGGCAACATTTATGACCCAAGACAAGGATTCGTAGTGCATACAGCCCTGAGAAGGTTTTGATATCTATATTGATTTCAAACGGTAGTAGAGAGCTGTAACATTTACAGAAAATCTCTCGTTTCTTTCATGTTACTAAAAGAAAAGCTTTGCCATTGATCAGAGAACCCTGTCCATCTGGTCTATACGGGGCCTGAACTCACCCAGTACAGTGCGATGGAACACCCGTTCCAACTGTTCTGCTCCAAGAGTGTCAAGAATCCAGAATACCTCTAGGCTGAATTTTAGATGCGATTTTTGCTAGAGGTCGAGGATTCAGGAAAGCCAATTTCCGCCAAAGCTCCCAAGAGACGCTCTCATACGTCAACCATTTTCATGGTCATCCCGAGAGAGATAGAAACCAGGCACGCAGGCTTAAGCTCCTGCTTCTGAGAGGAGGGTGGAAAATGGCTCCCTTCACCTTCCACTCGGGACCGGCGGCCGTTCTATGTCGACAACAGCAGGAGAAAGAGAGGCAAGTTCGAAGTCTGAGTTCTATCCTGTGGACTGGGAGACAGCCGATGTCGTTTGATGGTTGATTTCATCGTTTAGGTCGAAGATTATTAAAGAGCGTCTGAGAAGGGCTAAAAGTGCACTACAAATCTGTAGACACAAAAAGCGCAAATTTCAACTTCAGCATGCACCGTGGCCGTCGCGAGACAAAATGTGATTTGGCACTCGACCTCAGGATCAGCTCCAGCGAGAGCTCTGTAACTGGTGATTCGAAATCTAGCGAGGAAGGAGTTGGAAAGTAAACGCTTTTCCAGATGACATAGCACAGTCTTGTAAACACTCCACATTTGAAGCTTCTCTCGCAGATATCTCGGATATATCTTTATGATGTTCTGGACGCAGTTCCGCGAAGAGGATCGAAAGATTATACGTCGTCTGACAGAGCTCCGGTAGATGATAGCCATGCCGACGTGCCCTGGCTTCTGAGTTCGCGAGGTCACGTGTATGTTTCATGTCTTTGGCATGCAAGACCTCACGGCGCAAGATCGAATTCGGATTCCGTTTCTTGCATTTTCTCCAACCGCTCTTTTTCCTGTCTGGAGCAGGATGATGGACTGTCTTGACGATCCTTCGAACCACTCGAACGTCGTAGATCCATGTGCAATCAAAGATCTCCGAACCTGCGGTCTGAAGGTGAAGCAAATTGAATTTTGTGATTGTTCTGTTTACGGGCGTGCCTCAGATCGCGAAGAAGAAGGGTTCATGAGCATTCCATCGGGCAAACACGATACGAGAGTGGTCCTCTTGACCACTCTCGTATCAATGTCAGTCTGGCAAGCACATGGACATGTACAAAGCGTTTTTATTGCTGTAAAGGTGGTAGGCTTGGTAAACACCGTGAGTGCCCATCGGCACGTCGACTTGGACCTCGACTCGTTTCGCATTTTCTAGGTACGGTCGTGCCATAGTCTGATCGAGCGCACGAGTGGAAGCCTACGACAAGATCTCAGTCCGAAACAGCTTCGGAGTGAGTCAACCTAATTAGTATGTCGACAGTTGGTTCTGATTTCTCCCTGAGGAGAGATCAGAATTTCGGTATTGATCATCTTCTCCATGGCAGCTCCGAAGTCCAGAAAGAAGCGTCTGGTCGATGTTTGAAGAGCAACGAGAGCGCGCCCCTTGACGTTGGAGACGAGCGCAGCATCAGACTTGAACAGACCCTTGTGATGCTGGAGATTCTTGAAGTAGTTCGTGTCGAAGGTGTTGTTGTGATTAGTCGGATCCATGGGAACGTGCTTGAAGAAGTTTGTACGAAAAGGGCATTGTTTCTTCAGCTCTACGGCGTATGTTGCGTTCAGAGTGGGGTCTACGCCATCAGGACCTGAGTTGTTGTAGAGACGGCCATGAATCATTCCACATTTCGTCCGGCCTATAGTGTGGGCACCTGCACATAATGAGAATTAGTTGACTATTCGAGACGCCATGTCGCCACCTGCTCCCCCGATCTATCCCAAAGACGTATTTAACAACTGGTCTATATGACTCCATTTACTACATGGCAAGCGATCATGAAGACTAGATGACAATGCATGCTACAAGTCAACATATCGGACTGCACTATCACGATGACCACGTACTGTATCTGATTTTTCGGGAAGAGTTTGAAAGAAGTTATTGAGATGGGAAGATTGAGTCCACCAGGCAGAGGCCATCAGGACGAGTAGCTGAGGGGGCTCTGGAATGTGGGGATTGTGTAGACGAATTTTTCACCTGCGAGGACAACCATCTCCTTGGCAGTGAAGTTCTTTTTGGCGAATAAACGAGTTAAGTCAGCAAAGTCGCTGTAGTGTGCTGGCAAGTTGTCGATAGTTTCTGAGGCGTAAGAAACCACACCATCCCTGCGGCCTGATGTAACTCGCCATGCTGGACCTCCAATCTGAACAAGGAAAGAAATTTGACGCTTTCACACCTGTGCATATATTCGTTCTTCTATAGTTAAATATATGTATTTATACATATATTTATATATATCTCCCAATATGCAGAAGGAAATAAATTTGATGATGCTGAAATGAAGCACGGGAAGCATACAGAGGCGATGGCATCCCGAGCGGCGAGGGTGAGGATGTCGGCGCAGGAGACGATGTTGGGACAAACAGCTTCTACTGCAGCCTTGGCATCATCGATTACCCGGTAGCCTCTGAGCGAAAACATGTTGCCGAAGCCATCCTTTTCCGCGATGTTGGTGAAGTTGGAATCCAAAAGAACAGACCCATCACAACCCTGACGATGTTGCAAAGGTTCCAGCGTCAAATCTTCGAGCATTTACAAGCTAAAACTGGACTGCACGTAAGGAATTATTAAGTCGACATGCACAATCTGCATGCACCTACGCTGTCAATGAAAGAAAGACAGAAAATCAGAATACATTCAAAAGAATATGTAGCCGTCGAAGGAATCTAGATTCGTTCGACGGATTCCTCCTGTCAAGGCTTCCAAGATACAGATTCATTGCATTGGAAAACGAACTCTGATGAAGCAGTCGTGGAAGTTCAGTCGGAGGAGGGCAGCTGACAACCCCATGTCCGCAGCAGTAGCTTTCAGCACCACATCTTTGACAAGCTCTCTGGCTTGAGGACATTCTTCCCGATAAAATTTCACACGGTAATCAAACTGAGCCTCAGCACCCGGCGGTGAGAAGATCCAGACACAAATTGTCCAGATCAGGATTGGCATCATCGAAAGTCGGTTAGTTCTCTCCATCGAAATCACCTCAGAGCTTCAGTCTTCTTCGATCGAATTCGGAGGAGATCCAACGACCTCGGTGCTACATCAGACTACCTCACAGCTCGACATTGTGCTCTGCTGCCGTCACGCCTTATATGTTGCTCGCACCACTGTTAGCACTTTCTCAGATCAGACTTCACACTGCGACCCCCTCCAGTTGCATCTTCATCCTCTCACACTTGAAACATGATCAAGAGGCCTTCTTCAGGATGATATTAAATGGCGGGATGAGTCGCGATTGCACTGCATTGTAACATCCTGATCTTATATATTCTAAAAGAGAAACTAAAGTTCGAGATTCTGATTTTTCTTCACAGAATGAAGAAGATTAAATCAATTTGTAGCTATAGATCAGAAGAAAAAAAGGGGAAAAAATAAAGGCTGCGCGGCGGGAATTCAAAATTTTCGCTGACTCGAACGGAATCAGAAGACCGAGACCCAAAACCGCCATTCTGAAATTAAAGTGCGTAAGTCTGAATTCGAGGAGGGAGGCAACAATGTGATCGACGCTGTGGATCTTACGCGAAGTCGAGGGAAAAAGGCGCCGAGTGCATGAGTAACGCATACGAGCGCAAGTAGTCGTCAGGCCGGATTCATGGCGCGGCAACTAGGCGCCGTTGCGCAGCCTCTGCTATTTGGACTGTCTATTTGGCCTTCATACTCTTCTCGCTATCAGCCAGACGAGTTTACGGCCTTGGCTTTTACTTTTACTTTTACTTTTATCTTTTGTCTTTGACTGCTCGGTAACTCCTCCGATTACCTTCTCAAGAGTTTTGTGAAGAGAATTGAGGTCTGGAGTTTCCTCCCCAACGGCCGATATTGTCGCTTGAGCATTTTTGCTAGCGGAAGTTTCGTTCCCTCGGTTTCAGCTCCTCAATAATCAACATTTTGCCAGCGCTCTTCTACATAATGCCTGGATAACTTTCTTTTCCAAAATGGAAAGCAATTGCATTTTTCTTGGATTTAATCTCAGCTACAGTGTATTTTGCCAACGTTTTCTCCGTGGTAGTCTTTATTTTACAGTAACTTGATCTGTATAATCCGGAAAAGCTTTGCCATCCAGATTATAAGTAAATAAACTTCATATGCATTTAAATTTTCTGAACTTAAGGGCAACAAGACTTGACGCTCAGTTTTGAATGAAGTACACCAAGTATATTTCAACATTTTTAAGTATATTTGAATATCGAACACCAAGCATATTTCGATCATTTCAAGGAGATAAAACATATTGATTAAACGGATTCCGTCTTGACAGGGCGTTACTCTAACCAATTGAACTACAGCTCCAGTAGATAATCCCATTTTTCTTCAACTGTAAAAAATGTTTGACATAATAAACGGCAAATATTTTTTTTTATCCATGTGTTCAACCTTACTTATCTTCAAGATGTTTTGAATGTAAGACAAAGTGCTAGCATTTCAATGTCATGGTAATGTGCTTGCTAAATAGGTATGCAATATGAATTTTCCACATGCTACTCTAGTTTCATCTCTAGCACATATGTTCATCTAAGAATCACATTTATGTGTATCAAAACGTTGTAAGTTAACAAAGTATGGCGTGTCATGCTCATTACATAAGCAATGAGTATTTTCAGTTTTAAATTGTTTCCTGTCTTCAGATTACTCCAACACTTTAGCACGTATTATTCAACCTTTTTTCCCCATTTCAGATGATCTCATTCTTCATAATTCAAGCTGATTGTTGTGATTCATACATATCTTGCTTTCTTGACACGGAGGATCAATAATATTTGAATTTTGTAAAGCTTGCCTGATGGTTTTGGTTTAGTTTGTGATAGTTTCAGAAAAATTGTTATTCCTTTTAATCTATTTGTTGTTTTATGAATACACTCCCATGGATTGTCTTCATCTCCTTTTACTTTGACAAAGTGTACTTAATCACTTTAACATTAGGTTTGTACATAGTCTTGACTGTCAAATCCATTAATTAGTCTAACGCAGCAATCTAACTTCTTGAAGGTCATGTTAGCTGTTTTTCCACTAAACGCATTTTGGTTTCAGGAGTACTTTAATACACTCTAGGCTCATCAGTTACCTACCACCTCATTTTCCATCTAAGTGTAACATAGTTTCTAATCTTAAAGTTTTACCCTGGTTTGTTTGAAGTTATCCTCTCCATATTTTGATGCAAAAAAAACCAGTAAAATAAAATCACATCACATATACTTTTTACTTTTGCAAGATTTGTTTTTCATCACTTACACATGAGTTGGAAATCATCAATCAATTTTGAATCAATTTTCTCCACTGATTTTGTGACAATTCATCCACTAATCTTAATGTACTCATGTTAACATTTCTGTGGTATAACGAGATAAATTTACTCGTTAAAGTTACATGTCATATACATGTCATGACTATTTGCCTCTTTCGACCCCCTTTGAGTTTCACATTTCATCTTCTCATAAATCTTAGAAAATATGAATTAAAATATTGCTGCATGCATTTCTTCTTACTTCAGACGTTTTTCATTATCAATGTGAAAAGTTGGTTTGCAATTTATTGTTATATTAACTCCAACACATATCATCACTTTAATATAATGTGTATAAACACATATTAAGGTCAAAACAGCATATTTAACTTTAATTTAATTTTTTAATGCTAACATGAATCTTAACATTTTGCCTTAGATTCGCTTAAAATATTACACTAAATTGATATATTTCTTATATATCTTTTTTAGTTATTTTTAAAATCTGTAATAAATTCCTAGCATATTATAATGCATAAAAATTTAATAATAGAGTAAAACAGAAATTGGTAAGTCATTTAATTCACAATAATAATCACACAAAGTTAAAAGGTTCACGTTTTTCATGCACTCATTATGAAATATTAATTAATAAAATCAACAATTGTATCATTGAATATATTTTTCCATAAAAATTTTGAATCTATATTAATAATGTTATCAAGAATTTATTTTATCTCAACTAATAAAGAATATTATGATAGTCAGTTCAAATTTTCTAGAGAAATATCGTATTTATTACAATTTTATTCCACACTCAACAAAAAATTAGACATCATATGCATAAGTCTAATGAAATAAATCCACATTGAAAAAGAATCAAAAACAATATTTTGAATTATTTCCAATTTTTTCAATAAATAAGAAAAACAATGTATAGTCTCACACATGTATAGATGATCATAAAAAACATTTGTTGGTTTTAAACAAGAGATATATAAAAAAGGCTTAATTCATTATGTAGAATATAATAATCATTTATAATAGATTTTATGCAATCATTAATGGGTAAAAATCTTGTGACTTTTATTAAACTCAATAGAGTTTCTCATTAAAGTCATATATTTTAAACCTTGTAGATTTCATGTAGGATTGTATTCAATGTAATGAAAGCAAGGATAGTTTTAACATTTTATCATCTACACCTTTTCAGCACTTTTATGATCATTTTGTTATGTGATTGTGGTAACCCACTTTTTGTTTTTGAGCTGAATTTAAAACAATTTTGGAAAACAGTACCGCAGCGGCCTTGTAAATGGTGATCGGTACATTTAAATAGAGTGAAGATGGATAATCGCGGGTCTCGTGTGATCTCGTAGTATCCAGGAGTTGGGCGCAATGTCCGGAGCAGGTGCTCCGACCTGAACGATCAAATCCTAAGGAGATCTCCTTCGGCGCAAGGCGCAAAATCCGCCTTCGGCAGTACGCCTTCGGCGCTAGGGAAATTCCTCAGAGCTTATTCAATTCACAACCCCTCAACTTTATTAGGGTCTCGTTAGAAAGAGCTCGACACGCTTGTTCTAACGAGACCAAAAACGCTAGCAACGAATGAGGACTCAGGGAGTTGTGACTATCGGAAGATAGGAAGACATCCGCCTTCGGCTGAAGGAGTTCGCCTTCGGCGGGAAGTCCGCCGGAAAATCCGCCTTCGGCCCTAGATTTCCGCCTTTGGGGGTGAAGTTCTTCGTACGGCGCCTTTGGCGCCAGCGCATCAAGATTAGGCAAGTGACTTTGGAGGCATCAGCTCCGTACGGTCCGCCTTCGGCTTAACGCCTCCGGCGGGACGGACATGTGCGCCTTCGGCGGGCAGAACTCCGGCGGCAAGAGCGCCTTCGGAGGGACAAGAGGGATCGACAGTCAAGACAAGATCCGTTGACCACGGTCAACGCCTTCAGCACAGCCGCCTTCGGCGCTGCGCCTTTGGCGATGCACATACGCCGACGGACATCTTCAAGAAGTTCGCCTTCGGCGCTGCGGGTCAACGCCTTCGGCGGAAACGCTTTCGGCGGTGCGGGATGGATACAAGTAGCGAGTCGGCCAAGGGCGAAAGCCTTTGCCGCCGCGCCTTCGGCGGAACGCCTTCGGCGCTGCGCGACCATGGCCGCGGCGAAGTACGATGGCGGAACTCAAATTGAAATTTCGAGCGTGTGAGTGCGCGCGACAGCGGAGCGTGAAGCCGCGCGTGCGAGAGGAGGGCCGTTACGCCTCCAAGCCGGCGCAGCCATCAAGTGAGTCGACACTCACGACCAAGTGTCAACAATGACAACCTGCGAGCCAAGGGCGGAAACTTCATTCTTGAATTTGCGATTCCAATTTCTTGTGCGAGCTGCGCGCGTCCACCTTCAAGCAGAGAGAAATTCGAGACACCGACGCGCAGAAACTCGCTAGGTGGCAGAGAGAGAATTGAGTGCGCGATAGTCGGAATTGAGAGAGATTAGAGTTTGCAGAGGAATCGTAGCCGCGGGCAAGAAGCGTGGACATAGCGGAGGAGAGTTTACGAAATCCAATTCCAAGAACGCGATGTCGAAGCCCATTCAGCTGCGAATGATTCCGTTGAAGATCCCGCAGATTGGGTTGCGCGCTTTCCAGGACCGGCTGTTTGCGGTGAAGCTCGATTTCCTCCTGTGAGGATGAAATTACGTGTGCCATGACATGGTGCGCGAATGGCAAAGGGAGAGACACCAACCTACGCGTGGATTTTGACCGCACGTAGAGCGTTGGACTGTTCAAGATTGGGGACAAGTGCTGGGAAGATGTGCAGGCGAGTACAGGTTCCTCCTATTTGATAGTGAGAGCATCAAGGTGACGAAGGACGAAGAGATCTCCTTCGCGGCCTTGTTCAAGAGTGAGAATTCCAGCAAGAACGGGTACAGGACTCGTGACTACAAGGATTGCTACCGCAGAAATGTAGCGGTGGCACTTCTGCAACTCTTGTAGCCGCACCGAACAACATACATCACTTATTGGCAAGTGTCTTTCGTGGAGCTGGCTTTGGCCGGAGCTCCGATTCACAGG